TTAAACCAAGGAACCACAAAGAAATCACTGAATCACTGACAAATATTTTCTTGGCCCACTGCTTTGGGAGCTAGTCCACGTTCAGTTTAAATGCTTATTTGTACACTAAAAAAAATGACATAGTACACCATATTTTTAGCAAAATAGATGTTTTTTGTTCTTGCTAGAAGTACATACACTTTGCAAAGTATTACCCAGGAAAACATACTTGTCCTTGCTTTCTTAAAGCAGGTACACTCTATAATCAAACCTAAAACTTATGACTCTAGTCTTTCATCCCTCCAGTATGTGTTCCAAATGGCCAGAGATATCTTGCTAAAATGCAAATCAGACCAAGCTACTCCCTTTGAGAAGATACCAAGATAAAAGACTCCTGAATGTGCCATGCTTTCTGAACTCTCTGCACATGCTAGTTTTTGGTTTGATGCTTTTCTGCTACCCTGTGTCTGCATAGAGAATAGCTAATTATTTTTCAAGATGTACTTCAACTATCACATCTTTGAACATTTTGCAAAAAATGGAGGCTCATAACAAATTCATATATACTTTTATTATATCACTTTCCAGTATAATTAATTGTTGAAACACAGTTGTTCATGGGCAGGTAACATATTTTACATATCTAGTGCACTACCTGGTACACTCCTTTACATATACACCATCAGCTTAAGTAAACTTATGTAGTTATTAACTAAGCAACTGATCACAGCAAAATCACACATTTTCTACATTCTCCAGAGGATGGTATTGCAATCATCTTACTGTGCAGACTCAATTCCTGTCTGGTTTCTACACTTAAGAGTGGATATTATCAGAGTTTGCCAAATACTATAACCCCACATATCTACAATAAGCATTCAAAAGGCAATTTTTTTTAATAAAAGTGATGGATGTTTTAATATTTGAGAGCAGAAAGTATAGAAGGTTGTTATGGGAAGAACATTTAATGATAGGTATAATTCCAATGGAATGAGAAAATTGTCCATTATATGAAAAGTACCTTGCACATTTGAAGGACAATAATAAGCTACAGAAGAGGAAAAGTGATTGATAAATGGAGAGAAACCTCTGAAAGTATAACTCTTAGTTATAGATTAGATGCTTCTTAGGCTAAGATGAAGAAACATAAAAGTTTACCAGAATTTAAATCTGATGGTAAAAAAATGCTGCTTCCAAAGCTGTTGCAGACCTCAGATTGTTTAGTAGATTCAAATCCATTTAAATTTGCACAGGATCAAAAGGAGCAGAGAGTGTAAACATCTCACCTGCTGAAAAATTCCCTACAGGCACTAACTGAGATTATTACCTGCCAGATTTTCAATGTAGTAGCTACTGGTTTAAATTTGGGGGGAGTGAGGAAAGATGTTTGAGAGAATGACTTTTGGCTAAATGGGAAAAGGATATAGCAAAGCATATGATTAAACAGATAGAAAGTTCTGGCTCAAACATTTCGTGATTGAAAATACAACTAAGGAATCTGAATGTCTTTCAGAACTTTACTTCTTCATGTGCACATAAACTTTTGTATTGGAAACATGTTCATACAATAAAAAATGAAGAAAAGAAACAAAGACAGGAATGAAAGGATTCTCTGGCCCAGCGGAAGAAGCTAGAAAGTGAATCACACTCTGTTCTAGTATGCAAGCTCAGCAGGAGCATTTCAGGAAAGGCAAGAGATGATTTAGAAATACTCTTCCATGGTAACTCTCAGGAATAAATATAAGGAGGCATGGGAATCCTTATTAAAACTCAGTTTCTATTTCTGCATTTCCATCAATTGCCTTTTTAAATTCTGTTTTTGAATTCTCAGCCTTTCAAAACTGAAGAGACATTGTAAAAATAAAAAGAGCAACTTAATGGGTCTTTAAGATCATTAAGCTCAATCTCTCACTCTATCCTGAGAGCAACTATAAAATTGAAAACAAGGGATTTCACCTGAGGAAATTCCACAATATATCTTACTATTTCACCTTTCAATAATATCAATTACCCCAATTTTCCTGAAGTTTAACATATATTACCTGTAATACATATTCATGTCATTTTATTTTTGTCAATAAGTGGCCAAGCCTTTTTAAATTCCAATAAATACAATTTAATAAAATCACAAATTATCTATCATCCATGAAGTTCCCATAGGCAAAATAATTTCTGCCAAATGTTGAATATCTCCAAGCACCTATACCCCAAACCAATTAACTGGATGGTAATTCATAATTATATAAAATAAATGCTTCTGTACACATTAGTTTCTTGTTATTCACTTCTACAAAAACTGTTAAGCTCTCTCTCAAAGATTATATTTTTGAAGACGTGATCCTTAACAGCTTTCCTTATACATCTTCTGCTCTATGCCTCACAGACTCTTCTTTCTGAACTTAGTAAACATAATCAGTAAAACTGTACAGGAACTATATTTTGGATTATAATTTTTTTTTGTTTTGCCACATTGTAGAAGATTGGTTTGTTTCAGTCTGGCAAATGTGACTCAGCTCTGTATGGAAAACCTACAGAAGCGAAGTGGTGGGCAGGAGCCAAACCTTCAAATCGAGTTTTCCTGTGGGAATCAGGCCTAGAAAATTCATAGACTGTTATGGCTTGCTCTTGCTAAAACTCCATCACCCTAGTCTAAAACAACAAATGTATATGGTCTATCTTCAGGGTAATTTCCGAAGCCTGTGTGAATTTTCCCAAGGTTCTCCTCTGCATGTTATTTTCATTTCCTTGATTGTACCTAAAATGTAGACAATAATATTCTGTGTAATAGATAATAATGCTTTCTTTGATGTAAGACCCAAGAAAAACAATAAAAGCCTATCTAAGCAAGGATCGAGGCACTCCCCTCTTGAGAGAGTAGCCATACCGTTCCCTTTTTCTCCACAGGATTGCTGTCTCCTGTGCATTTATTTTCTCTTTCAGTCCCAACAGGTGAACTCTGCCAGGCGGAGTCCACCACACTACGTGACAAAAAATTTAAAATCTGCTATTTGTAAACATTACCTCTGAATTTGCTATTACTCCATTTCTTAATTTCATTTTTTTTACTATAAGAATTAATTAAGTTTATCTCTGTGAAAAAAATCTGGCATGTCTAGCTGATTTTATATAATTTTACTTGTAAATTAATTAATAAGAATTGAATGATTGCATTTATACATGCACACATTTATTATTTCATCTATAGTCATCATTATTCCCTTTGAATATATTTCATTAGCTTATTTTAAATTATTGTGTAAAAATATTTTATTTTTTTCAGTTTCTCCTTTCATTATTTCTCCTTTCTAGCCATTCAAACCACTGTTTTCAAAATTATTTTCTACTTCCACTGTGTTAATTACCATAATTTCTAAAAATGTTATTTATGCTAAAAATGTACACCATATTTAAAGTGCTCATAATTACTTTGGCTATCTAGAACTTACAACAAACCCGTATGTCACAGTCATTAAAATTAATATGACTTTTAAAGACCTTTCTCAGCTTGTTTTATTTTTCATGTCATCTCCAAGTTTCAGTTCAACAAAATTCTACTGCTTTGAAATGAAACTGAAAATTAAAACAATAATAATAATAATTAAAACCAAAGAAATATATACAATGAAAATCATATGGGATTCATTCATTTTATAGATTATTTTTATACTGGAAATGGATATCACAAAAATCAGTCTTCTTTAAGACAGTTTCCACCCCAAAGAGGAAAATATTTAATATTAATTCAAAAGCTACAAAAGTGTATAAAGCTGTAGTCAGACTCATCTAAAATAGAAGTAAAGCAGAATTATATGAATAATCTTGATAATGAACTTTACATTCTGTTTCACTTTTCTTTGTTGACACATTCTCTGAACAGGGAAGAACTGTGAAGTTTATTTTAGTCTCTTAAATGTTAAATGAAGTTACTAGTAAGTTACTAATAAGTTCCCTGAAATAAATTAAAGGTCACCTCAGGTTTTTTTGTCTCAAAATGTTATTTCTGATTAAACATTTTAAGATAATATTGATAGCATAAGATTACAATTCATATAAACAAATATACATATATAATACATGTGCAGATAGGAGTGTGATGTTTTCAGATACATAACTCAAGTCCCTACGCCAACTCTAATTATTGCAATTGAAATCCATTACTATAAAAATTTTTGCTTTGGGATACTTAAAATCACCTAAACAAACTTTCTGGATCCAAAACTTCATTAAGAAACTCAAAATAATGTTTAACCCTGGACAAATAGCATATGCTAATGTACTATCTGGTGTTATTTCTGCTATGAACAGTAATATTTTCCTGCATTTAAAAGCCAATGACATTTGTGTTTCAAAGACAAATACCATAGGATCTCACCTATAAATGGAACCTAATCAACAAAACAAACAAGCAAGTAAAATATAACCAGAGACATTGAAATAACAAACAAACTGACAGTAACCTGAGGGGAGTGGGGAGGGGGAAAGCAGGGGAAAGAAGGGGAAGGGTCCTCAAGGAACATATATAAAGGACACATGGACAAAGCCAAAGGGGGGTAGAATTGAGGGTGGGAGATGGGGGTGGGTGGGGCAGGGAAAAGTGGTGGCAGGAAAATGGAGACAGCTCTACTTGAACAACAATAAAAATTAAATAAAAATAAAAGCTAATGATACATATTTTGCTAAAATATAAACAGAAATTAATACTTATTCAAAATAACACATAAGATGCAATAAAATGTTAAATCATGTTTTCATTTAGTAAATATTTGAGAATATTACACTGGAAGAAGAACTAAAACAGTGATTTCCCTATCTTTATTAAAATAAGATGCTGAGTTTTAGATACATTTTATCCAAATTACAGCAAATCACAGTTGACTACTTTAATATCTTGATACCTAGTGATCATGCAAAATAAAACCATAATTATAAGCAAGCCACACATATCAAAGTAAAATAGATATTGATTAAACTCAGAACTTGTTTAAAGTACAGAAGATTAACCTGTCAATTTAGTTACCTACCAGCAATGATTGGATTCTATCAGTGTTATCACCTCTACAAACAGCACCATAGAATAATCCCTCTTCCCATAACATAAGCACCATGCCAAACAGATAAGCAGAGTAAAAGATCTGATCATGAATAACTTGGGCTAGTTGGAATCCACTTACTAGAGGAAAGAGAAAAGAGAAGTGGCTCACTAGGGCATTTCCTGAACCTTGTTTGGAATTTCAGTTAAGGAAGAAGAAATGACACAGCAGTTTCAAGTAAAGGAACTTCCTTTCTTTTATCTAAAATATGTTACCAATTTGAGAAAAAGCACTCCAACAAAACTACTCCACCACAGTACTGTGGCCACAGTAAAAGCTCTCATTTCATTTATTACCCTATAAATAACATTTCTCCCAGGATATACACAAGCATTATGTGGTTTTTATAAAAAAGGACTTAAGATCCCACATTTATTGCAGCATGTTCAGTCTTGAATTTAACATTTTTTAACAAACTGACCTTCACCACTTTTCACTTTTTAAGAACTTTAATTTTATTTAGAGTAGTATTAGATTTTGAGTTTTTATTGAAGGCCATCAAATTTCCCATGTTTCATATAATCACATTTTCCTTACATATAGTTTTGCTCTCAATGTGACCCCAGGATAATATTTATCTTGTCCAAGAATATTTTATCTTCCTATGTAGATGGAAGGTATACAATTCAGCTTATAAATTTTATAATTTTTATTTTCATAACCCAGTATTTTTAATGAATGTGAACACCTATTTACTCACTGCCTTTACAAATGAAACTTCTAAAGAAGTCTCATTTTACATATTAGTTATCTGCATAAACTTTTAAAATCTAAAGATATCAATTTCTTCCCAAACTGTAATTTGTGCTGTGAAAATCTGCCTTCATTCTGTATTACACCATTTGTTTATTTTACCTATTTTAAAAACAATATTTAAAAACAATATATGTGAAGCAAAATGTTCATGTTAATTACTGGTTTCATGCAAAATTTCTCTTGCCTTTATTTTAAAATATCGATCATCCTACCCAAGTTACAGATGAGCAGCGTGGATTCTGCCATGCTGAGGGCAGCCCTCTGACAAACCTTCCACTACAGACTGTTGGAAGACAAACTCTCATTTGCTGAAATGATGAGGGATGTGGAAATACACTCAGAGCACCAATAGCATCTTCTCTAAGTACTTAGAATCAATCCTGTCACACAGTAGACAGTACACATTAAATACTAAGGCTTAATGTTTTTTAGATTAACCTCTCCATCAGAACTAATACCATATTTATTTATTTATTCATTCATTTATTAATAAATTTCTATTGAATATCTACCACATATCAGGCACTGGGAGACTAAGACAAACAGTTATAGTTATTACCCTGAAGGAGATTAAAATCTAATAGAATTTGGAAGATAAATTACCTATGGTTTAAATTAGTTAAAGAAAGAAACATAGTAATATAATGGGTAATATATGAAATAACAAAAATAATATAAGAAATAAAAGGATTATTTTCTTATATATGATATTAGGAGAAAAAAAAGATATTGAAATAAGACATGCCATGAAATAGCATTGTTTGGTTTCTAAAGTCAAACAATTTGGATATACTAAAGTAATAAATAATAAATAACATCTAAGTCACATAATGTTTAAGTTAAAAGTATTAACAGTTCATACAGGAAAAAACTGCTGCTTACAAAGTGGCAGCTTAACATACTTTTTGAAACTGATTTTAAAAATAGTTCTACAAGTAAGTAAGAAGCAGACCACAATATAGAATATTAGCCCTTCGAAAAAGAAAAACAATAAACTTGTTGTTATTCAGGTTGCTTTTATAGAAGTCTCAATACCAAAGGTTATTATTAAAATGCTTTATTGGCAATTGATTTTATACTTACACACCTGGTATTTTGAGTCTTTATGCCCATAACTATGCTTTTAATCTTACCAGCAAGTAGCCAAGTAAAGACAATCATTAATTTACAAAAAACTTCCAATCTGTTAAAACTGGAAAAATTCAGATTTTTTTTAAAAAAAGAATCAAGTAAGTCAGTCAAAGGAAAAGATATTTCTCTTTTAAGAAGTTTAGAAAGTAAGTCCAAGATCAACAGTACCAAAGAAAACAAGCAAATAAAATTAGATGTGAATATATAATTTATATGCCACTCATGGATATGAATCATAATTTCAGAGGGATTATATTATAATAAAGTCACTTGGCAAATAATTGATATTGATTATTCAAAATTCTGGTTTCATTACCAGTTTTGGGAAGTTCAGAAGTTAGAAAGTGAATGTTCCCTGTTTTTACACAGCTGCACTCTGCCTGAATAGTACTTTATGATAAACACTGAATGTCAAATCTGATCTTAAATTCCAGTATCATTTAAGAACTACATACATCTAATATATAGGAGCTGATCTCATTAAAATACTAACATTGAAACTTATCTAGATTATAATTATTTCACTAGCACACTACAGTATTTGTAAACTTTAAATATATATTTTAAAACTGCACTTAAGTTTTATTCTATCAAAATTAATATGTCCTTAACAAGAAGCACACCAGGTGTGAGGGCTGTGGAACACATGTAAAATGTGCACATCACTATATAGTTGTAATAGTAGTACTTTTTCACTTCTGAAATGCTCTTTGTCTACCTCAGTGGCCTTAAGAAATTTCAACCCATTAACCCACCTGTGTCAGCAGTAATGCATGGACTTATCATTGCTCCATGAGAAAAGGGTAAATTCAATCAAGAGAATCAAATGACTTTCCTAAGTTTGTCCCTAACTCAGTTTTGAAGAGCTAGGAGTCCCTAGAAACCTTAAATACATTAATGTAATTTAATTATTCAATGATGTCAAGGGCTTTAAGAATTCTCTAGAGTTTATGTTTAATCTTGGCATACACTAGAGTATTAAACAGTCAGCCCTTCTGAAATTTATGAAGTAGGCAAAATTTGTCTTTAGCATGCACTGTCTATGTCCTTTTCCCTTTTGCCAGACAGGTGCCACAATACCGTATCATCTCCCCACTTTGCCATTGTCTACAACTATTTTTAGAAAACTCTATAATTAATTCATTATATACTTTATTCACTAAAATATAAATGACTGATGAGACATAAAATATTCTCCCTCCCAAGCACATTTGCATTTGAAAGCTTATGAATCTTTAAGGTAAAGAAGGGAAGATATATTTAAAATTGAGAAGGGATTATTATATAAAAAATTTGGGAAATCAAAAATACTCCATGGAGACTGTCATCTAATCTGAACACTGCTATACTCAGACTAGATAGTGTATTATCCATAACATATATAAAAGTATAAAGCTTTTTCTTTTGCAATGTTAGGATCTTCCAAATGAGATGGCATCTCCCATGATTGACACTGCAACTCCCTAGAGATTAGAAAAATGACAAGACTTCTACAGTCTGCCAGAATTGTACAATTGCTTTCTGTCAGACAGGGGAGGATAGGCTATGCTGTCATAACAAACAACTTGTAAAAAACACAAAATATTAAAAACAAAAATGTTATTTCATACTCTATACATCCAGTATGGATTGGTAGGAGAGCTCTGTTCCACATAGTTACTCATGGACCCAGGATCTGAAGGCCCCATCTCCACACCACTGAGGCAGGGAAACAGGAAAAGTAAAACTGCAAACAGGTTCATAAAGCTTTTGCAGAAAGTAATATGCATAAATTCTGTTCATTATTCATTAGTTAACACTGTTAATGGCCATACCTGCATCAAAATAAATTAACCTGCAATTCTACCATGTGTTGAGAAGAGAGGACTAAGATATTTGTTACTAGGACCAATAATTATAACACGCTTTTAATAACCAACTTTCCCAGGGAAGAACTTTTTAGTAAAGATTAGTTCTTCCATAATGTCACCTAAGAAGCAAATTCAGTCCATGCAATAATAAGCTCTGAGCTTTATTCAATGATTTTACTATAAATACAGACAAGAAGGGGCAGTAGGCACAGGAAAAAGAGAAGGAGCAGATAAACGAAGAATGAAAGAGGATAATTTGGATTTTCATGATTTAGGGAGACAAAAACTAAACTAGAAGACAACTTCTATGTAAGAGTATATGGGCTTATGAGTGTTATGATTTTTGTTCTTAAGACCTACATTAAACATACCTTCCAGAATTTATCTGTGAGGGGAGTATAGTTTATTTGCAACTGGAGCATCTTTCAGAGGAGCACATTTGACAAATTTGAATTTTGCTATAAGCAAAACATAAAGTTTTCCTGAGAAAATTATATGAAAAATAACAATTACTTTTATTATTTTATTTTTTTAAATTCTCACCTGAGACTATGTTTAATGATTTTTTTAAGAAAGAGAAGAAGGGAGAGAGAAAAACATCAACCTGTGGGAGAAACATTAGTTTCCTCCCATATGCATCCCCAACAGGGTATAGAACTTGCAATCTACATATGTGCCATGACTTGGGATCAAACCTGCAACCTTTTGGTGTAGAGGACAATACTTCAAACAACTATGCCTCCTGGCCAGCGTCAACACAGTTTTTTTAAAGGAAGAAAATTTGGAAATAATAATAGAATCAGAGATAAAAAATAAAGAAATATATAGAAATACCTTTCATGTTGTTTTTTTTACTCAGAGATTTAAAAAATACTCCTGCATATGTAAGAGTCATAAGAGTCATTAATGAGCACTTCTTGTTTTAATTTGTAATTATTAACAATTATTTAATTGTCATTATCTCTAGAGTTGCACTGATTCTGTATGTCAAATAAAAAATTTCCCAGCCCCCTCTCCTACTGTTTTTTTACTCAAATTTTAATTATGCTGTGTTAGCCTTTTTTTTCTTTTCCCTTTTTTGTCTTTCTTCTATTTCTCTTTCATCCTGCCCCTTTATTTCTCTTAATTCTTTTTTTCTTCTTTTCCTTTACATCCCAAATTTTAATTTTTCCCTCAGTCTAGTTTTTGTTCCTCACTCTCAGTATTCCCTCTATCATTACAAAATCACTTCTCATTCCTCTAAACATCTCTTAGACTTTTCTTTGTTTCTTTTTCCCTCTTATTTCCATACCACCAATATTAATTTCAACTTATTTGTTG